TTTGAGAAAGTCCAAATCATAGCTTATTTATTATTTTTAATACAGGATGGAAAATGGCTGAATCATCATTTAGTTGTATCCTATATAAGACCTGCACCAAACTAACATTTACAGGTGCTGGCTGGAAAACATGAATTTTGTTTCATAAAAAATTTCAAGGTTTCAAAATGCGTTTGTTTTCCATCAGACTAAAGATAAGATGTGTTAATATTTTTCAAGAAAATGTGGGAGATGCACATTAAATTAGCCAATAGTCCAAAGGGCACATCTCAGGTCAAATGCCTCTACTGTTTCATCCAGAGTATGGACCTGAACGTGGGTTCCTCACTACCCACATGAATGCCCCACTCATAATTATTAGCTTTTCAAACAACTCTTCTTCCAAAGGCGCAGGGCATTTTTACATGTGTTCTGGGATGCGGCACCAGGCACGTTAATTGACAAGCTGCCAGAGTGTGTCAATTTCCGTGCTCCAGCAGACGGGATCAATTGCGTCTGCTCTGACATGGTAGATTTCCAGCTCATCACAGTGGGCTCCCCACATGTCTGTAGGAGCCCTCTATCCCGTTCCAAGAGAACATCTGAAAGAAGTTGTCATTGAAAACAATAGGTTTCTGCCAACATTTTTGGTTTTGAGAAACTGGTATTTTTTGCCAGAAAATAATTGAATAGATAAATTCCCAATTAGTTTTACTACAAAATCCCTGGTACTAAGTGAAATATAGTTCAAAACAGCATAGAAATAAGGGGAAAATACTTCTAATATAACCTGTCAATTTGTATGATTTCCAGAGAGCTGGTTTGTCACCATCCTTTTTCAGTCGTACAGGATAGGAAAATTCCCAACCTGTTTGTATTGTGACCCTGGCTATGATGAGCGATAAGGGAGTATTTGACTGATGTAGTACATGGGAAGGATGCTGGGATTGGGAAGAGCCTTGGCTTCACTGTCTCACCTCATTGGTTAGACTAATACAGCAGGAAATAATATACTCCCCCCTCAGTATGGTTATGTAGATAGAGGGGGTTGTGCATTACAGGGGAATCACAGTCATGGGGCTTCTTGGGACTATGCCTAGTGTGATGCAGATTATGCCCCACATATTGCACAGTCCTGTACACAAAAGCACTGACCTGACCCAAGTGTTCAGCATTACTAGGCTCAAGATCAGGGCAGATGAGTTAGGAGGCCTTGGCATTCATGTGAGGGAACAAATGAGCCAGCCCATGACTAGCCTACATCTAAGCTCAAGTCAGTGTTGTTAGATTCTTGTTTTCATAAACATAATCATTCGTCCTATAAAGGCACATTATATACCAAGTGCTAGGAAATTCTGCTAAAAAAAGTTAAGACAAGCTTGAAAAATGACCACTTTCTGGGCTGCATTACCAGTAAATGACATACGTGGTATGCAGGATGAGTTAAGTACTTTTTATAGAGTGTGTCTGTCTTTCAATTACAGTACCTTTCAGGTTAAATCCTCGGCACTGAGTCATAGGGTTTCCATGTCTCACATCCTGTCTCCGACTCCTCCTGAAATATTCAGGAAATACAGAATATAATCCAAGACGGCCACACACAGTAAATAAGCTTTTTACCAGATCAAATATCAGTAGCAGTTTTCATGAGTAGCTGTGAATATAGTTTACAGTTGGAAGAACACTAAGGTCCAGATCCTCTTCCCAACTCTATCAATGGAGTGTGAGACTCCCTTTTTTACCAAGCCCAACATTGTGGTAGACAAGTTACAAGACAATGGCAGCAGTATTGTGGGAACAACAGGAACAGACCTGGGTGGTAAGCCTGACCATATTTACAAATAAAAAGAAAAAAAGTCTAAACATTTTGAACCTTATGTTATTAAGCACGATTGCAGTTGATTGGCATTTTATCCATAATTGTTCAGTATGAAATAGATGATCTCGCGAGGTCATTTCCAGCCCTAATGTGTATGAAATCTATGAAATTTATGAAGTATCACGCACAATATCCTTCCAACAAATATTCATTACATGCAAAGTGGAACAAGTTCAATAGGAGAAAATGACCCCCCTTCCTCCTTCTCATCATCTGTCTGGTTGTTATAGACCTATTCTTGGAGGTGGAAAATAAGGATTCAAATCCCCTCAAGGAATTAAATCAGTGCTTCTCACATCCTGGATGGATATCCTAACCACTGAGATACTGGATGAAATACAGAGCTCCCACCTATTTTTCCAAGTGCTTTTTGTGTGCTTGGAGAACCGCTTTCTGGAAGTGAAATAGTATAAGAATGCCTACTTTGTGGATTTCCTCTGAGCTTAGTGCTAAGCAGATCAGTATTATCTAGAGCAAAGCATTTCTGAGCATGTACAGAAGACAACCTCTAGGAATTTTTTACTCATGCAGGGGTTGGGGGAAGGGCGGGGTTGAATTTGTATTGTTCTGACTTCCCAGTGCAGTGCTTGTATTATTATTTTGCACCTTAAGTATTATTTAGGCCTCTCTCTAGTGCTCCTTTTCAGGCTGAACCACTGCACCTCCAGTCCACCCACCCCCACTCCAGCACAGGCTGGGCAAACCCTAGCCCGAGCTCCCTCCCCTTCCTTTCCCCCCGACTCCACACAGCACTGGAGTTGGCAGGGGGAGGGAGGGCAGGGCTAAAGGAGAGAAGCTGCAGACACACAGCTCCCCCTGGAACATCTCCAAAGTGGAACTCGATACCCCGCTCTCCCAACCCAACATCAAACATCTGTTGGGTCCAGGGAGTCAGTCTAACTCATGATGCTTTCTATAAAGCACCATGAGTTAGACAGGGGAAGTGCACATCTTTCAACACCCACATTTACCAGTTATTAGAGAAAATGAATGGACAAATGTGCAATGGGAAAGCTTCCACTCCACTGAGAGCAAGTAACCAGGCTATGATATAGGGCTTACTCCCTTACAAGACAGTATCCATTTCATTGAGCCTGGCTTGCTCTCTTGCTCTTGGCTCCACATATGTCCCAATTCCAGGAGTTCAAGAGCCCAGTTTCAAAAAGGAGTGCTGGAGAAGCTTCTATATAATGCTTACCCTGCAGCCTGGTATTTAGAGTAGTGTGCTAGGAAATCAGAAACCTGCAACCACACAAAGAAATCAAGAAATCTGCTTGGAGGCCCATTAGAATCAGTACTTCAGTAGAATGCCTTGGTTTCAACTACACTTACAGTGTTTAATACATGAAGATTGCAGACTTGAACTGTTATTCTCCATGGAAAAGTCACACTTGCATTGTAAAGATTCCAACCACTGAAGAGCAAAAGGCAATGCTATTATTTATTATAAGAAGGTGAGTGCAAAAATTCACTGCTAATAAACTCCTCAGCCAGACAGATGTTGCTTGAATTTTTAACACTCATTTTTCAATTATGTGCTAATGACTAAATAGATTAGAAGCTCAATAGATCCCTGAGGCACCAGTTTTGCTGAGTGAAGGGTGGCTTACTCCAGAGAGAGTGCAAAGGGGATTTCATCAGCTTTTCCACATGGCAGGGACTGGCTCAATTAGTGTTCCATATATAGGCTTCAAAGATTAACGGGTGAAGATTATAAGCATGGTGTCATAATTACACTGACCCAAGTGGTTACAGGTATCTGTGCAAAATATGTACAAGGCTTGCAATAAGAGGCAATACAGGCAGTGATGTAGGAAATTTGGGTTCTAGTCCTGACTGTTATTGAGTTGCTGTGTGACACTGGGCGAGTCACTTCTTTCTCTCATATTGTCTTTAGAAGGTGAGCTCTCCAGAGCAGCCTCTTACAAGGTGTTTGCATAGTATTAGTTGGATAAGATTGCACCCTTGCTGTGTCTACAAGACACTAATGAAACATTAGTATTACTGATACAAAATACCACTAATGTCATCCTGTGGCCAGAGTTCCAATTTTGGGCTGTTTTCCCCAGTTTCGGGGGAAAAGCGAGTCTTGAAGCACAAAATATTTCATTTAGAATATGACAAAATGAAATATGACTAATACAAGCAGAGGGAGGCAAAATGTTTGGGTGACTGAAAATTGGTAAATTTTATCATCAATCCCATGGCTGTAGGACAACTGGAGTTGAACTCATTGGGAGAGAGAGCAATAATAATCAGTCTAACCCTAGATAGTTCAGTTCAACAAAGTGTGGAGTAAGTGCATGCATGCCAGTAATTTGACTGGGATGTTAGAGCTTTCAGCCCTTCTAATCAGCATTAATACTTATGTATTAAAAGAAAAATCCTGGAGCCAAATTCCACTCTCAGATACAGCATCCAAGCAACTCCTGCTATCCAACGGATGTTGGGGGCTCTTACTGTTATTATAAGAATACTAGGAAGACTTAGCTGATTGTATTGTCTCATTATACCCCATGCTGTATAGATAAATATTGAAAGAGAACCTGATCCAAGTAACTTAGAAACTTGTATAATTTAATGCCTCTCTATTTTTTTTTTTAAAGAAACATTTTTGAAGGATAAATTTTTCAAAAGTGCTGACTTCAGTTTTTAGAACCGATTTTTATACTACACATTGCACACATAGCTGAAGCTATTTAACTTTTCCAACCTATTCCTACCTGAGAGGGAATATTATATGATTATTATATGAATATTATATGCTTTTCCTATAGATTTTAGAAAATATCTGGTTGCATATCCCAATAAGGCATAATCTATTGTCCTCTCTGAGATGCTATGTTCCTGCCCTACTAAAGGGAATGCATCCTCATAATTCATTCTTTGTCCAGAATGGAGAAGTGGCAACATATATTTGAGGTGGTAGTGTCTGTGGATGTGTTCAGGAAATATGGACATGGGCAGGTGTTCTGAGGTTTTTCAGTGTGGGATGAGGCACAGCAATAATCCATAGGGCAGAGATGTGGTTATAGAAGAACTGAACAAATACCATGTAGAAAGATCTACTGTCTAGACTTCAGGATTTGGCTCTGATTACTGATGTTTTCTCCACCATACTCTGTGTCTTTAAATAAAGAAAAAACTCATTTCCCTAATATATGAAAACCAGATTTTTGCATAGTCTTTTAGGTGTTTATTTTGGTCTGCCATATAAAATACATTACAAATAAAATGTCAGCACCACAGCAAATCCCAGTGGAGACAATGTGAATGTCCAGGATAGAAAAGGTAAAGATCTATACTTTTCAGCTATGCAATGCAGGAGCTGGAAACTGAGGGGGGCAGCACCAGATTGGCCTGTTTCCACCCTCCTATACTTGCTTGATACAAGAAAACTATATGCCCCAAAGACCCTAGGTAAGAGGCTGGATATTGCAAACTGAAAGGAAACACAATGAAGTATCTGCAGCATGAATCTGGGGTGGAAGAGCTACAGCATAAAGCATCCTAGCTTGTATATATATTTAACTCCACCTAGGAGTAGCCTGTATCTACTTCACTTCAACAGAAGCTGTTGTCTTCCACAACTCATAGGGCAGTAATTAGTTTGCTGGTTCATTGGAGAATGGATCCAAGGCTCCATCCACTGGTCTCTCTTGGTTCCTTGTGTACAGGCACAGGGGGAAGTATTGCATGCATGATCCTGAGTC